ACACACACACATATATATATATGTATATATATATATACATTTGCATTCACACACACACACACATATATATATGTATATATATATATACATTTGCATTCACACACACACCTGTAGTATCCTATGGAACGTATTGGCCAGTTCTATCTGGAAGGTGTCTGCTGTAGACCTGCCCCATGCACCTGGACGACAGATGGTTTGGCCAAACACCTCACCCACATGAATGATAGTGTCACCAGTGAAGTGGCTCAAGCACTGCAGAGCCATAGACTCCTCAGAGCGCTCGAAGTCGTCTGAGACAGAGAGGCAAGGGGTGTTGAACGGTTTAGAGTGTAGGGTTTTAGGGTTTAAGGGTATAGGGTTTAGGGTTTGAGGCGTGCTTTGGGTTTTTGATTTGTCGTAGCTTTTATTGAGTGGAGTTTTGGGATATGTTGAGGACAGAAGGGAATGGCCGAGACTATAAAACTTACACATACAGAAGCAAAGGGCATACATACACATCAACCTTACACACCCAGAGAATCAAAACCGCATGATTGACTGGCTTAGAACCAAACTCGACTTATACCGAGCGGCAGGTATAGTCCACTGCAGGCGTGACCACAGACCAAATACTGCCCACCAAACAGGACTATATCCCACAATACATACAAACCCCTACCACCGCGCGTGTACACACCTGGATAACACAGGAAAAGGGCGCGTTTCTTGTTCTTCTTGTGTTTCAGGACATCCGGCCCTCCCTTACGCACCTCGGTCCACGCGTCTGTGGGACTGGCGGGTACTTGTATGTCGTAGGCCTCTACGTCCACACCCTTCTCACGCAACAGGCGGGCCCAATAGCCCAGTCCTGCCCCGACCTCGACCTAAAAAAAGGACAGGTGCAGGTTATGGGTGCAACCTAGGTGTGGTGTATGGATCCAATGCAAGACACGCAAACGGACAGGCAGTGGCACTAGTTAACTTCATACAACCAATCAAAAATGAGCGTATTCTATATAATTCAGTTGTAGAAGAGATAGTATGTACCTCCATGCAACCAATCACAAATGAGCAAATTCAATACACTTCAGTTGCATAAGAGATAGTATGTACCTCCATACAACCAATCACAAATGAGCAAATTCAATACACTTCAGTTGTAGAAGTGATAGTATTTACCTCCATACAACCAACCACAAATGAGCATATTCAATACAC